ATTGCCTAAGGAAATCTCCCCCTAGAGGCGGTTAACATTTCTGGAAAGTGATATGATGGGTTTGCTTCTCCTTCAAGGTGAAGAAAAATGTGTACCCCATTTGTCCACTTGTATTTGCTACTCCTCCTCTTTGTAAAGTATCTGCCTAAAGCCGTGCTGCACAAAAAAATGAGGCTGCTTGCTTTGTTTGTTTATTTTCTGCACAAAAGAAAAAAGTCAAATGTGAATGTACCCTTTATTGATTATAAATATCACAAACTGGTATTCTCCCACCATGTTTTTCTACATATTCTCCTTGGATTTGCATGCAGCTCCTGAGCTAAGGGATTGTTTGAATTATCTACATGTTCACACTTTTGCTACTCTTGCTTTTATTTCTTTTTGCAGTGCATTTTTTGGCTCAGGAATATGAAACCACCTTAAAACTTCATCCTATTCTTCATCCTATTCTCTTTCAGGCTTTACTGGATTTCTGGTATCTTACTAACATTTGGCCAGCGCTCAACCCACCACATGCATCCCATTCCCTATTGATTCCTGGCCCCAACACTGAGGTCTATCAACACGGCCACTTACAGAAGTCATTCCATCAGCACAGTATTGAGCTTAGCCCTGCTTCCCTGAACAGGCTGAAGAAATTATCTGTTAACATAAAATCCTTTCTCATTTCTGTCTTTCACATATATATAATCACTGAAAATCACTTAGTAGAAATGTTAGTTTGTTTCAGGATGTAAAATGATGGAGACCTAATGACATATTGATTTGTTTATATTTGATGTTCTCATATCAACCCCTTGGCAGATCAAATTCGGTGTTGGTGTCAAAATTACAGCTCCTGTGCCATAGCCAGGTTCCATTTCACTCTGCTAGTTGACTGTTGTCGCTGATGGACATGATATATTGAGGCTTTTTAAGATAATCAGACACACACACACATACTAGCTGCTTCGTGAGGTTAAAGCCTTTAATTGGGGGTTCTTAACTCCTTTTTACGAGGTGTTTTGGTCCAGGTTACATGACTGGATAATAAACCAACACCCTCTTTGGTCCCATTGGTGGGACCAGAGAAAACACACTAAGAACATCTATTCAGTATTGTTTTGAGAAATATTATTTATTTACAATAACACAATTTTGGAGAGAAAACTGTTCCCAGGAACTTTTCCCCTGGGAACAGGTGAGCCTCTGACAGGCTGAAATTCTTTCAGGCTCAGAAAATCGTGTCTACAGACCGTGACTGCTTCAAACTATTTTCTGCAAGGTGGGTCTTTTAGGTAATGAGATCTTCAACTCATCTCCTGATTCCCATCCTTGATAATCCCAACAAGACAGTTTTGGAGACCTGTCCTTCTGCAGGTCCTGTCCTGAGTGTTGTGATTTAATGTCTGGATTCTCTTCTCTAGGGTATTTTAGTCTTTCCAGCTTCATTCCCTCAGCAATGCACAAAGCAAAGCCCTCACAAAACCATATTATTACATATTGTAGCATATTACATTCTCTGCTGTCCTAGTTTCCAAAGGAAAACAATTCTAAAGGAAATCTGTGAGTCACAGTGAAATAAAAAAATTATAGCAAGATGGCACCAATGGAAAGCCTCTTTCTTTAGGTGCATCCATCCATCCATCTGATCTTCATGCAGAAAACTGTCTCTATCTCATCACCTCTCCATGTACGTGTACCTCCTAAGATGTGTTATGGGAGGAGATCATAGCTACCTGTTCACAAATATGATTGAGAAAAGGAATGAGTAGCAAAAGGAGGCACATTGCTGGAGAGAGCTGTTGAAACAACTGCTAGGGGAAGTAGCATAATTATGGAAACCCCATCCCAACAAAAGTAAAAGGAGGAGCCTTTCATTTTTGTTTATCAAAGGTAAGAAACAATTGAAAAGACAGAGGAGTAAGAACTTAAATCCCTGTGGCTCTTATTTGTATGGCTCCCATATCCTCAGGTTTAACCTAGTTTACACTTGTCTGCCAGTAGCACAGCTCAAATAATTTTAAAAGGCAAGGTGTGCTTTAAAGGATGGCTCTCTGCTCAAAGACCATGCTGTCTGATTTCGTTAGAAGTCAGCTATAAATCTTTACAGGATTTCCATTTTCCTTGAGGCTGAGGCAGCCTGGTCTTTATGTGACTGACAAACTGGAGGCATGATTGATTTGGGGCAGCACCTATTACATCCGGACCAAATGATGCTGAGACATATTTTCTGTAAATCAGGCTCTCAACTGCTTGGGTTCTCAACCCCAGATTTTGAAGCACTTGTTGTCTGTAATGTCCAGTGACTCCTGTCACTGAGGAAAAAGCAGCATGTGCCACTCTGGCTCAGCTTTGTGCATGTCCGTTGGCATGATTGCAAAGACATTTTATTTTGCTTCAGCGGATGGGTTGTGCTTTCAGTGCCTATCTCTCACAAAAGTGGCTTTTTTGCTAAACTGAGAGAAATCTAGCAATTTTTTGAAGTTATGTCTAAAAGTGGGGCAGATCACAGACTTGTGGAAATTGAATGCCTGCTTTTTACTCAACATGACAGATTCTTTCTTAAAGGTAAATCAGTGGTATAATATTCAGCATATTAACACAGCATTATATTTCAAATTCTCATCTAGCTACCTTGTGTCTCTTGCAATACCTTGGTAAAAGCCCAGCTTTCCATTTTATCAGCCAGCGTTTGGGGAAATTTTTTAATGGCAAATGATTCCTCACCAGACACTTCTACACTGTGTAATAAGTAGCTCACAGAAATTACTCTCCTGGCCTGGAGTCTGGACATGAAGGTTGGCAGCGAGGATGGCTCCATAGCCACTTGAGAAGTTGTCATGAAAAGGTAGTTGAATGCTCACTCAGTCCATTTTAGAATGCAGATATTTAGGGCTGAAGATGATGATTATTCCTCTGGACTAGCTCTTTGATTTGGCCCTTTTAGGAGATTTAATGATAGGTTATATCTTCACAAGTTTTTCTCCAAGCTGCAAGTGTATGTTTCTGTCTTCATTTACTGCTGTCACAATAAAATTTGTCCCTATGCCTCTACCTTTCAATTTCTTTGCTCAAGGAGGTTCTAGAAGTCCATGAGTTTAGAGGTATGTGGAAGAGAGTGGTGATGACTGGGAGGAAAGCTGAAGTCGTTGAAAGCAGGATATGAGCACAATTCAGCCCCCATTTCATGGGTCAGCCCATTGTTTGCTGTGGTTTGGAGGGGGCCCTGTTCTGTTTGGGGCTCCCATTGCCCACTTGCTGGGCACAGGCTGACCTGCTCTTTAATCATGAGTCTTGCTACCATAGAACTTAGACTGCAAGATCTATTTTGCCCTTAGTCTTCACATCACAATTCAAGTCATGGCTGGCTTGTTTGATATGGAGTAATGAAGGCTTGAGATTTTCTTGAGAGGAAAAGTGAGGAGATGGTAACCAGGAGAGCAAGAATTGTTTGGAGAGAAGACAGATTTGAGCTATTAGCAATATCAGTGCTGTATTTGATGCTGCCAAAGCCATTGATTGGCTCAAAATTAATGTAAGAGCACTTTTTTTGGATTACATGATACCTCCTTCAGAGGGAAGTAAAGCAGTCCATTGTGGGTAAAAAAATCTTAAAATCCTTCTTTCCTGAAATGATTACTGACTCATAAGGAGTCAGACCAAGCACAAGTGTAGGATACCTTTGTTTTGTGGGACCCTGAAAAAAAGCCCCAGAACTGCAAAGAGTTGTGTTATATTAACATGACAGGACAGGATATCATATATAATAGTAATAAATGTCAAAATCTGCACATACAGACCCACAACTATAAGTATTTTCTAATTATTGAAATTTAAATTGACCTAGTTATGCATTTATGGGGTTTTTTTCTTATGTATCCTTTTTTTTTATTTTGATTTCTGCTAGTAAAGCCAAAGGAAAATAGTAGCTAAGCATTCATTTTATGCTGATGAATTTCTTCTTTGTTTTAAAACTCAAGTTAAAAGAAAAGGAATATAAATGAAACAAAACAACAGATAAAATAATTTAGATGTCAGATGTATCCCTGGAGACAGAGAGAGAGGTGTCAGCATGATCATATAAGAAATCTTTAGCTAAAACAAAGTTCAGTACCTAAGAGCATCTTATCACTTAGAAATTGATCCATTTTGTATCTCAGAGGAATTGTATTCATTTGAATTTGTTGATTAGAGAGTGCATTGCATTAGCAAATGATACTATTTAGTGAAGAGCTGAGCAAGTACCAGGAGAAAAACCCAAGACTTCACTCCAAAATGCATTTTGTTCATCTATTTAATGAAACAAAATATTTTCCTTGGATTTTTTTCAATAGAAATGCAACAGAAAATTGGATATTTCATTTAAATGAAATCTGATAATGAAGTGATTTGCTATGGTGCTGTCTGTCCTGGTAAATTTGGTGGTAGTGACACTGAACGATAAAGTGATAAATGGGGTGGTAAGGCAACTTTTCAAATCAATGGAGTGTTAGGAGGATTGAGGGTTGGTTTTTTTTTAGCAGTACTATCACATGTAATTTAAAATCTTTTAAATTCTGCAGTTCCAATTTTCAAATCATCAGAGTGAAGAGTAATGTGTCTCCATAGTCCCTTGTCCCTGGTAGTAAGGCTTTAAATAGCTATTCTTCATATAAGAAATCACTGCTGCACATTAACATTAAGCTAACATGTAAGGAGTGAACTGTATTAATTAGTAAGTTAATTTCTCTTGACTGCAAGTTGATAGTAATCAGATGTGGGAAAAAAAAACCCTAGTATGGTCCAGTTTAGGTAGGATGTGCTGTACAATAATTTGTTATGTGCTGAAGGTTCTTCAGATTCTGTGATTGTTTTTTCTCTCTATCCCTCCCTCCCAATCTCATCCCTGTTAGGAATACTAGGAGGAGCCCAGGAGCCCAAAGGAGTGTACCCCTCATCACCTAAGGGACAACACAGGAAATATGTATAAGGCTAACAGCTGAGAGGAACATGCTTCGTATCAGCTGCAATTAAAACGGATGGGCAGCATCATTGGAACCATGGGGTGCAGCAGTTCTGTAGCTGACAGGAAGTCAGAGAATGGTGAGTGTTGCCTTCATCTTCAGGGCAAGAGGTTGTTCTCTCTCTAACACCAGAAAAAGATTGTTCCCCCCCAGTCCTGTTGTCAAAATACTTGTTCAGGGAAATTATATTATAATTATTTTCTTTTTAAGACCGTGCATAGCTTTTAGATGCTGGCTGAGGTCAGGAAGCAGCTTTAGATCTCCTCTAACATTGACAGATTGGGTTGTAAACGAGTCACAGCATCTGGGACAGAAGCTTAATTTCAGAGGTGTCTGTGCTCACTCTGTCACTGGCAAAGCTTAGGGGGTAAGGTATTGAGTGGGACCTTTTATGGCTTTTCACATCACAGGTTCCTGGGCAAACCGCCCCAATTTCCCTGCTGTTGTGTGATCCCAATTATGAAATGAGTGCAATAAAGCAGAGCTATTACAATGACTTCAAAATCAGTTTTCTGGCCTACCAAGTGCCTGGCCTGACATTCTCCCAGAAAAATACTGAGGCTGTTAGCTGAAAGTCTCCACGGGACTTGGATCATCACCCTCCTTTTAATCATACCTTGATATGAACTCAGCAGTCTTTGCACTGGCAGGTGGATTCCAGGATTCACTCAGACCTTTGTTCAGACCCTCTGTGTTCTCTTTCAAGGTTTTTCATTAAAGCACAATTTATTGGTCAGCAGAGAGCCATGTTACATGGTACTGTGCATAGTGTTAGGACATTATTATGCTGAACAGCCATGGTTGAAAATGAAGGCTCTTTTTGGCTACCAAGCCAGGACACGACACACAGGAAGATGGTGACTAAGAAGCAGGAACACTTAGTCATAGCTACAGGGATCCCAGCTGACTGGTTTGAGAGCAGCCCTCTGCTTTGTGTATGCTATTTCAAAGCAGCATCAGGGCTGTACCACAGAGGTGAAAGTAGAATGGAATCATCCAGAGTCCCAGACCTACCTGTAACAGGGAGGCAGCTCTTCCTCTTTGGGTTTGCATGCCATGCCTACATGCATCTCTGCCATGTGAGACCTTGGGGATGTGCTACTTGGGAATATTTCTGAATGTGTAAAAGCTTGGAGTGGGCATGAGGAGCTGTACTCTTTCTTGATCAACAACCATCAATGCACATTGATGTGGGGATTAGGATTTTGTGTGCTTGCTGGACTGTGTTTTGTCTTCTGGAGTTGCTGGATGGTTTCCTTTCTGCTCTTCAACGGTAGTCAAGTTGCTGATGCTGAATCATTCAATTTGCAGCCTACGGCTGTACATTTCTCTAATGCATTAATAACCCAAATTTAACAGATACTTGTTGGTATAGAGACCTTCTTCAACTGATAACAATTTATTTTAGAGATGCAGTTTAGCCTAGTATGGAAATCATGTTCTGAATCATATTCTCATGTTCTGAGAATAACAGTGCTGTAATAAGTACAATTAAAAAAAAAAAGAAAGACAGGAAATGTTCTGTTAGATTTGCAACATTAACCAAAGTGATTGATATGTATCTGTCTTATGTGATAGCAATGGAACTGTGCCATGTTAAGTGCTCAGGACCATAAAGCAACCCAGGGGGCTTTAATGGGAAATTTAATGGCTCTGATGCTGGAAATCCATTTCTGTGCTGGTGATTGTGCTTTGCCCCTTAGGTGCTCTTCAAAAACAGAAATGTTGGTGACAGCCTTGCTGTAATGTCTCAGGCTTTCAGGTCTGTAGTGGTGGGGACTTCCAGAAAGGACAGAAAATAAGAAATCTCAGAGTTTATGCAGGGTCTGAAGGATGCTCTTAGTAATATAAAGATCACATTTCCTTCAGGCAGGAGGATATTTCTAGAATGGATGCAGTATCTATAGGATCAGAGACTTTCTGGATTTTGGTCTTGTCTAGACTAGAAAATTTTACCACTTTCACTATACCATGTACTAATAAATGGTAAAATAAGCAAACAACATGTTGTTATGGCATCTGTAAGCATTTTTATAAAAATGTTTTCTTAATGTTATACTCTATTAATAGAATCACTTTCCAATTAATATTTGTTCCTACCTGCATAACTATCAGTAAGAAATTAATCATTCTCACTCAGGTTCCACTCATCCTAGTGTAAAAATTCCTGGTATTTGTGAGAAGTTACAATAATTGACTGTTGTCCCTGTAGTACAGAGTTTTTCTTTACTGTTTTGCAATGCAGGACAGTGCCCATCCCAGGACCTCTTTCTGCCCCCAGATGTTTCTCTGCTTAATAAACTTTTATCTGAGCATTTAAAGGATATGTGATCTCTTTGTAGCATGAATGAGGCCTGAAGGCAGCAGGCTCTTTCCTCCAGGCTGTAGTCTTGATGATTGTCCTTCAGTGAAGTTTCCAGCAGTTTTCCAGACTGACACCATTGTAGACACAACTTTTTGAAGTGCTGAGTGGAATGCATACTCAGCACATAGTCAAAAATGGTCTTCTGGAATGTTCCATTGACTTTTTGGGGTGAGTGTTCTTTTGTTAGCCAGTCACTGCCTTTTTGGTTTCTCTGTAAGCAACATATTCTACCCTTCAATACCATTTGTTAACTTTTTATCCTAGGATTTGAATTTCGCTGGTTTGCTGATGCAGCTCTGCAGGCAAAAACTTTCTGGTAGAAGAGGCTGTTGTAAATACTGTCATAAATGGTTGTTCATGTCACAGCTTGAAAAATCAAAGGTTTTTACTGGAGATTGATAAAGAAATACACTGTTGATAGGCTAAACTGTTCTTCCTTTCTTCACCTTCCCAAAACCCATAGCGTGCCCATCAGCTGAACATAACTGACTTCTTACCTGGGTACTATCTTCAAGAGAATTAAATGGTGAAGGTTACTAACTACTTAGGCCTGAGCAAGTCAGCTAGCTTGGGATTTGTGTCAGAAGACAGAAACAGTAAAGACATAATGTATTTTTTTCAGTCTCATATTTACTGGATTTCATCTTGTTGACTGTGCACAATGGACTGAATCATCATCTGATTGCAAAATTCTGTAAAGGCAGCATGCATATTTTCCTTGTAGATTATCCTGCATCCATGTGTACTCCACTGCTTTGTTTTGACAGTTATTAGAGCGGCAGTCCTCATCCAGAAGTGGTACCGCTTTACCATGGCCCGGCTGGAGATGAGGCGCCGCTATTCTCTCAGTATCTTTCAGTCAATTGAATATGCTGATGAACAGGATCAACTACAGGTTTGTAATCTTCCATTCTTCCTATAAAACAGTTATGTTATCCCCAGGACTGTGGTTGTACAAACAAAATGGGTGTGTGGTGATTTCTTCTACAAAGCTGGGTCTTGATTAATAAAACTGTTTCCCTGCCTGACACATGAACTAAGTTGTGTGTATTCATACACAGTCATACAGATGAATGTAACTACATAGGCTTCAGGACACCATTCTGCCATACAGCATGTCTAGGGTATAGGTTCCTGTATAGCAGCTCTGTTAGCCAGGGATTGCAGGTCAGTTACAGATCACTAAGGGTGATCTAAATTGTCTATGAGGCAATACATGTGCAACAGAGATATCAGTGTTTCAGCATGTCAGCCCAGGCTTCCCTTAGGGTCAGTATAGGAAATTTGGAACTTATAGCCCTTTGTGTTCATCCTAGCATCTGTGTCTAAAGTTGGCTCAGTGCATTGTAGCAGTTGTTTCTATTGACTATGAAGGAAGTCTAGGCAAATAGTCTGGGTGGTGGGAAACATCAACAGCAGTGAAACAGCCCTGAAACATTTTATGTATGCATGAAGTGTCAGTTGTGAATTCATAGCAAAAAAAGGAAAACTAGCTATTTTTGTAGTAGGACACAAATTGTGTCATTACTGCAGGCTGATACTATGGAAATATACAGTAGTGACTTATATCCCCCTAAACGGGAAACTGCAAGTAATTGAGGAAGAAAGATGTTAATGCTTGTTGGATCACGTAAACTGATCAGTGTATTTGTTCTTTTCTTTTGCATACTCAGCTATCCAACTTTTTTACATTCATGCTGGATCATTGTACTCATCCTGATTCAGGTAACAATAAAAATAAAAGTAATGTGCAGATTGTGCTTGAAAAACTTGAGTGAAGAAAGTTAATTTTAAATGTGATATTTACAGCTTACAGCATGTGCTGGGGTTGAGGTTTGGTGTCCCAAATACTGTAAAATGAATTTGATCCTCTAAGTGTTACACTGACACTATTCACTATCTACTTAGTAAGTCAGAGCAGTCAGTAAGTCAGAACAGATGCCTGTTGTCCTTTTGAGAATATTCAGAGATGCTCAGAGTGCTTCCTTATATGTTGCTGCCCTTCTTAGAGAATCCAATTTTCACAGCTTTCTATACATGTTTTCTTAAACTATGAGATGTTGATTATTCAGAAAGATTGTGTTCACTTGGTTTAAGGCAGGTATAATGAAAGAGGTTGCTCTTTTTCCCCCACCACCTCCGGCAGTTCTGGACCACGTTTTAATATAATTTGTTCTAGATTTCACTACAACATGTATCAGTATGTGAATGATAAAAAAGGAAATAAATTTAAACTGCTAGAGATAAATCTTTAGAAACCATCTCAATTAAGCTTCAGTTATTCAAGGAATAACCTTTAATTTTTGAAGTATTTTGGGATCCTTGGACATAACTTACTTTTGAGGTCAAGCTCAACAGAAGGACAGACTGAAAGTGATTCCTAAGTCCAGAAAACAAACATGACTTCCTTGAACAAATTCAGAATAGATCTAATCCCAGTGGAGTTAAAAATGAGGCTGTCCCTTTCTTATTGCATTACAAGAGAATGCTTTTTCTCTTTCATCTGGTCTAGCCATGGGTTATTTCAATTAAAATTTGCACAAGATACTTTGATAGCAGGATAAAACCACCTTCAAAACCTTAAGTGGTTCAGTGTTCTAATGACAACCGGTAGAAATTGCAATTTTGTTCTCTTAAATACTTTAGAGTGCCTAATGCTCTCTGTGCTCTGCAGAAAAATAAATTACATTTTAGCCTTGCTCCAAAGTCAAGGCAGATGATACAATAGTCCTCCCTTTGATTTTTTTTTCCATTACTGCCATATTCTGTGAAAAAAATCTGCTTTAGTCATTTAACTTCCTGGGAAGGAATTGGCAAATTCAAAGAAAATCAGATACTGCTCACTTCATCTACTTCATGCTTCTAGTGCACCTCTGTTCAGCTTTTCCACCTGAATGGGAAAGAAAACAGTAGTTCTAGGTCTGAGATTTTGCAAAATATTGTTAATCTCCATTTTTATTATAATATTAAAATGTTTTTTTACAACTGCTTGTTGTAGATATGATTTTTCCACCTTTATTAACTGTGTCTACTGACAGAAGGAATGAAGGTGAGGTGTCTCAGGTGACTTGCTAGGGCTCAAGACATTGCAGAGCACACTGCTACATGCATAGGCTGTTCATGTGCAGGTGGAGATCTGAGCCTCACCTGTGCACAGTGAGGGATACAGAGGGTCCTGTGGACTGCTCCTCATCACCACTGCACAGGTCACCTGTTCTTGGTCTTGTAGATATTGGGAATTTCAGATGTGGTTAAGACTGTGTTCTGGGTTGATAACAAGAAACATATGATAAAGTGTATATGGTTTATGCTAAAGCGTTCTTTGTCTTGCTAGCTTAAAACTTCCATCTTTTGGGACTGATGTTGTTAAGACTTGACTGCTCCAAAGGCTTTATTTTTGTCTTTTGTCTTTCTAACAGCCTGAGTTACAGCTACCAGAACCCTAAACAAAACAGAAAAATTCCGCTGTATGTTTAATAGAGATGGCCAAGGCTGCCTATGCAAAGGAGCTGACTTAGATTTTTTTTGAGGAATTGCACATCAAATGTGTATTGTGTTGTGGTTATCTTGCCCAACTGCTGGCTGTGTGCATTCTTTGCTTTAAGCTCTTGATTGCTTGCCCCTGAAAGTGACCTTTGCAGCACTCATGCTAGCCCCACTAATGTAAGCAAAATCAAGTGGTGAGTAGAGGGATTCTTAAAAGAACTGCTTCCACTTTTGCTGAATCATCATCTTAAGACGTGAACCACAGTGAATGTAAACATAACAATCAGAGAGACTTCAAATTGACTTTGCTATTCTCAAGCATTTTCTAAAACCTTCAATTTTCTGGCTGTTTTTTCATCAGTGTGTGCTCACTTAAATTAGAGTGATAGCATATGGTTCAAAAGCTGTCTCCAAGAAGACAGTATATAATATTCTTACCAAAAAATATTACTGTTCTTCTTAGTATGTGATAAGAAAGTTAGATGAAAAATTTGTGATCTGTGGTTTTCTTTACATTATAAACTACTCAGCCTCCACCATTAATCTTGTTACTTTCCTCTTTTTAATCTGTTTTTTTCAGATTATGTTTTGCAAAGAAAGAAAGCAGCTGCCATCTCATTAACACAGTCGTGCTTTTGATGTGATTGTTTATCTCTTATACCCTAAAGCTTTTTTCATCCTCTCATTCTCCTTAAGATGTCAGTGTAGTTTGTGATTGGGATATTATACAGCTGAGTGTCTCGTTCTGCTTCTTATTAAAGGCTATTTTGCAAGGGTTTGTGGAAAATAAGAATAAACCCCTTTTCTACCTTACACTTCTCTCCCTCATTTCCTAAAAAAACCTTCCTACCTTCTCAGCTTTCAATGGAAAGTTCTCTGGTCAGACAAAGCTGGAAACTGCCTTTCCAGCAAAAGATGACCCATTTACTCACTCTTTTATGGGCACATCGAGGGTGAGAAGACTACAGACACATCCTGAGAAAAATGGTAGGACTGGGAATCTAAACCTGTTCCTCTCAAGGTCACCAGGGCACCTCCTGGAGCCTTCCTTCAAAGGGCAACAAAAAAAAAAGTGTTGTTTTCTGCAGTTTCACTCCCCATGATGCCTCCCTTACAGCTTTAACACCCTTCCAAGATGTTTTGCACAGAGTGATTCTTACAGTGGGGAATGTTATAGCTGCTTGCAGTTTGTAGCACCAGGAATGGTGTGAAGGAAGAAATGTTTGAAGCATTTTAGAGACCTCCTTCCTCTTTGTAGGCTCCGTGTCCATTTGTCTTTGACCTGAGGGCTGTGGATAGGTATCTGGCTTATATAAGAGCACTTCTCAGGAGTCAGAGGTGCTCTCAGTTACCCCAGTGGTCAGGTTGAAGGCACACTGATGGTGGCAGAACAGAGAACTGATTTCAGAGCTGCAGAAGTAGCTGATTCCCAGTTACCCCCATAGTGAGTACATTCTTGGCAGTGGCAGCTTTGACTTGCCTTGAAAAACTCCCATGGCAAGGTGATCTGGTCAGGAGAATCAGGTCTTTGAGCTTTCTGTGGCCAGATTGACTCCACTTAGCTCTGGCTGTTTGTGCTGAACATGGAATGTGGCTGCAGGGTAGTTTTTTGGGTTTTGTTAATAGTGAAGACTCCCTGAGCCTGGGCTAGACCTCAGGTGTCAGAGTACAAAGCAGATCATTGCCTGTGCTTCCTCTAGTGAGTGGAGAGATGCAGATGCTGGCAGAAGATATTTCATTCTGTCTTGACACATGTGCCTGAACCAGGCATGCCAAGACTTTTCATCCCTGTCTTTCAGTATGAACTGAAAGAACCTTGACAGCTTTGACTAGCAAAATGTGAGGGGTGCTGAATCCTTCAGAATTAATCTTACATGGGGCATGTGGTGAGCTGGGGTACTTGCTGGACAGCGTAGTCATTCCCCAGGCTGCATTAGATCATCCATTACTGACTGTTGAGAGATGGGACAGTCATGCTGTGCAGGAAGAAGCCATAAAATCCAGCTGAAAGACAGCCTGAGGAGCCGTAAACACACTCTGAGGGTAATGACCATGACTGGCTTTTAACAACTCATCCAGAAAGTGGAAAATGGGGTGTACTTTGCAGAGATATGTCCTACAGGGAAGGATTGGTTTTCCCAGCCTGAGCATGTGCCAAAACAGAAGTGAGTCTGTGAGGAAGGCAAGTTCATATTCAGAGGTAAAGCGATGGATGGATGGCCTACCGTGTGCTGGAAGGGAAGACAGGAGTAGGGGCAGGCATGGGCCTGCTTGGCTTGAAACGCTGAGAGGATCACTGACTCTGAAGGAGTCAATTCAGATGAGAACAGCTGGTTAGAGCAGGCAAGAAATGAGGCATTTGGGTCTGAGGAGTTAGTTCTGCAGTCACCTACTTCTTGGGAAATAGGGTGCAAAGAGAGATACTGTCCAGAGGCCTGCTGCTAGAGCTGGAGCAAGAATTGCTGCAAATGTGCTTGGCTGATCACATGTGAGAATCAGCAATTTCAGTCCATAGTGACATGCTGGTGTCCAGCCAGACAAAGCTGTAATCGTGGTGGAAGACTGCAAATCAAACTGCACTTGGTGAAAACGCTGAACCCTGAGCACCTTGCTGTTACTTGATGCTTTAATCCATTTAATTGGCTGAGTATAACATTGCATTAACACTGAATGTGCTAATCAGCTCACAGCTGAAGTGCTGATAGTAAAAAGGGACTTTTAAAAATCCAGATTACATTTTTATCTACTTATTTCTTTAATATGGATTTTATCCAGTTGCAAGACAAGTTGGTCTTTATGAATGTCATAATTTATGAGGCCACATGCTGGTTTTGGCTACTGTGAGTTTTGAGTCACAGCTACAGGTCAGCTGTAAATCAGCAATAAATATTACAGCTACACAGCTGTAAATAATACATTTTTTTGCAGTTGCAAGAAATCAGGGTTACAGAAAACCTAACTGCAGCCCAGTAAAAAGTGTTTACAACAATCATCTCTCAAGAGCAACTCTGAAACAGCATCTGCTAGAACACTTTTTTTTAGGGCCTGGTTCTCTATTTTAGAATAATATATGGCTGAGACAACCTGAAAGAAGAAAACACTGAAATCTGCTGATCAGTCAGTTATGTTCTAAGGTTATGTCAAGAAAAATATTGGATTGAAGCAATTAGCAGTGTTCCTGCTTTCTCCATGTTCCGGGAAAATTAGAAGCTATGCTCTACTTTCACCACTCTGTTTTTGTTTACTGTATTTCAGACAGTAGTTTTATGGCAGCCAACCAAAAGCTGGCATAGTTTCCCAGCTGTATCAGAAAGACTTGACTTGCAATCTGCTGTGAACAAATAGAATTTTGTTGGTGACTTTTAAAATAATCACTGTGACCTGCTGGTGTTTAGCCTAAAATTTCTGAGTAGAAAATAAAAGCAGCAGAAGTGAATCTTCAAAACCTGTATTAAAAGTGTAATATTGAACTTTAAACAGATTATGGTCATTAAATAATCAGCCAAGACTTTTGTGTCTCCTTGCCTCAGGGGGAAGAAGAAGGATGTTTGTACCAGGTGGTGGTTCTTGTTACCTGTGAGCAGAATGCTCCACAACTCCAGTGCAAAATGTTTTGCACCTTGATGACAGCTAACAGCAGCTGGAAAAGAGTTTTTGCCTTTTTTTAACTTTGGTTTTGTCTTTTTTTTCCTTGTTGTGGTTGATTGGTTGGTTGGTTTTAGTGTTGTGAAACAGTCTGGGGTGACCTGGAGCTTTTCCACTACAGGAGGCAGGAGTCAGCTGCTGTAATACTGCAGCAGTTAGCAGTTACATTCAGCCAGTTCTGGCCATGCTGTTACAGCTCTGTGGGGGACTGAAGTTTCTACATTTTTGTTTTTCTTCCATCTTGTTCCAGTTTCTCAAATTTTCACCAGCCCTAGTTCTCCTCAGGTGGTGGATGAAGACTTATGTTTAAAAGAATTTGAAAAGAAGATTAATGTTCCAGACTCCTATTATGGACCACGACTCTCATTCCCCCTTACTGTTGAAGATGCCAATGCTCTCCTTCATGCTTTCAGGAATGAACAGGTAATTTGCAAGAAGTTTGTTTTCTTTTTTTTTAACTTATTTTACATCTGTCAAGCTGTAGGTCCACAATCCAATGTAAGGCTAAACTGGTGCCCAAAGAGATATTTCACCCTTCTTTTACATCTCATTACTTTTTCCTGCTAGCTCAGTGTGATCATAAATGTGCATGGTAAACTGCCTTGGGAAATTAATCTGGCTGTAAGCTAACACAATAATATCAAAAGCAGACAGTTCTCAGACAGACAAGTCCCCACATTTGATTCACTGTTTTGCTGCATGACCACCAGGCCCAGCTTCTGGGAGGAGGCAGGGACTAGTGAAATGAAAGGGAACCCTTAGCAGCTGCAAGGCAGGTGTTCTCAATGAGAGTGCAGGACTGGGGAAGATGTCCTAAGCTGAATAGAAACTAATTATCATATTTTTATGGGTTAAAAGTGTTCAGTGTTTGGTTCTCTTTTTCCCAGCACCTCACTGTTTTAGAGGAATTGGGGTGTAAGGGTTAATCACCTATTGCAGGGTGCAAGAATCCACTGTAACAGTGGAGTGACTATAAAGCATTGCTAATGTAGCAGAACAGAGTGATTGCACAAATCTCTGGAGCTCAGGCTGCAGCTTCCAAGGCACTGAGGAAGCTGTTCCTCATTCTGTATATTCCGGAGCAAGCCCTTTTGTTGCCCACAAGATGAGGATGGAGCAGGGAGGCATTAAATGGCACAGCTTTGTTTGAACTTGTAATTATTTGTGCTTAAGAATATGCTATATAAAAGGGGCAAGGGTCTATCATGCTTTTTAATTTACTAAATAGGAATATATTTCTCCAGAAATTTTCTGTGGAGGCTGGTTGTAAAAGTACAAAATATAAAGCACATAATAAATAAGCCAACCCAGACTTCACCTTACTGTCCACTCTCCCTTCTCTAACTATAGCTGGCATTTTATTAAGGGAATAGTCATATGTAATTAACCTTTCTGTTTGCTTAAAAACATGAATCTTGAAGACTCATTTTGTTGCTCATCTATCTCCTCTACCAAAATTCCTCAGATCTCTGATGGAATTAAAAGTTTTAAAAATCACCAACTGACAAAATTTTCATAAAGAGCATTAGGAGAGAAGACCAGAAACTTCAATGTTCTGTTGTTAAAATTTATTCATTGTGAAGAAGATAACCCTTACCAAGGCAGCCCTTACTGGAATTTTCTTATCATTGTTCCTGAAATTTGCTGAAATATAATTTATGGCCTTTGGGGGGTTTTTGTTTTAGAGGTTGTGTGGGTTTTTTTGGTTTTGTTTGTTTGGTTGGTTGGTTGGTTTTTACTCACACCTAGAATTATATCCTTTTTTTTTTCCCCCAGTTACTTTAAACAAATGGCCTTATGCAATGATTCTGAGTGCTCTATCTTATCTCTTCTGAAAAACAGGAAGAGTAGAAACAGTACAGTATAAATAAAGTGGGAAAATCTGCAAAACAAGTTCAGTAAGGGCTCCATATCCATTCACTGGGAAGCAAATGAAAAGCTATGAACACTCCTAATTCTGAGTACTAGGCCATACAGCCTGTACTCATGTCTGGAGGTCTGCATTATAAATAACCTTGGCAGGACATGTCTGATATTAATAAGGCACACAGACCTATTGCTAATTCAAAGAAGTCTTCCTTTTCTACCTGCTTTTTCTTCTCACAGCTGCTTCATGCCCGCTATGTACTGCAGCTGCTAAGTGAAACTAGGAGGGTTCTCAAGGAAATGCCAAATATCACCCATCTTTCAACTTCCTACTCCAAGGAGATAACTGTCTGTGGTAAGGTGCCAGAGACTGCTTTGGGCTATGGGTTGATATTCTAAGTGGTTAGAGAATGATACTGCCATTTCCAAATTCTGTCATTAGAATAAAGTTCTCAATGCCCTTTAAAAAAATATTTATTTTTATTTATTTTCCCCCACAAGTACATAAATTGGAGCAAACAAACAAAAAAAAATAATGTTCCTGAGTCATAGTAAGTATATTTTAAGAAATTCCCTCACCTCCACTTTCCTGTTCTTGTTTAACGTTTCTGAATGAGTCAGTATTAATTCAGCTAACACTGCAGTGCAGCTTAAATACTCCTGCACTTCCACCTCTAAAATGCCACCAAGTATTTTGATCACTGGCTGTAAGCCTCACCTCTTTCTCCTCTCACTGAGAAAAAGACCTTACTAGTAATGATTTTAATGATTTTAATCATAATTTACTCCATAATGATTTTAATGGGGGTTTAATGTGGGTGGAGAAAAGACCTTTTGTTGACAGCATGACTATCTAGAATAAACTGAAATGATAATAACCCCTCATTTCTAGGGAGACCCAAGAGGATGGGTAAGTCTTTATACAACCAACAAATTAATCTCACAGAATAATGTGTCACACAATAAAGAACTAAGAGCTCTTTGCCTATCTATTTTGTTATATTTTTGTAAATTATGGATAATGGGATGCAGTATCCTGGCTTGACACAGTATGCAGTAGCTGCAAAACAAAACAATGATGGTGACATAACTCTTGACATCTATCAGTGTGTGCTATGTGTAGTAGTAAAGTAGTATAAAGGAGGTACTTGCAAAACAAATAATGTTTTTTAAGATGTGGTTATGGACCTACTTTGATTGCCAGAAAAGGATTTTTTAAAATGAGGTTTTGTATAAACAGTAATTCATTAACCAAGCCAACAAGACCCCTTTCCAAACCAAGGAAACACAGATTCATGCTTGTTCACAACACATGTTCTTGTTAAATAAACATTCCTCTTCATGTTTATATTGCATTTGCACTATGCAACCAACATCAAAAGGGATCCCTCTCCTGTACTGAAACGAAAAGTTTTTGTCACCAGAAAGACCCTCTGCAGAAGACTGAAAACCCATTTTTAAGTATAATCAGTCCAAAATGTTGATTTCCTTAAGGTATCACTCTCCATTTTTTTTAATTTCAAATTAATAATGCAGATTAAATATATGCCTGAAATGTTTGCATCCACATATTTGATAAATATCTATCATACCCTGGAAGATCCCTTAGAACAAATTCAGCAGGCTCATAATTAATCAAAAGTTGCACAGAAAACATATACATGTAAAAATGTCACTTTTCCTAATCATTGATGGTAAAAGCATATTATCACAAGACAGGTTTTGAAACTTCTGCAGCTTGGTGGTGGTGAGTCACCGACTCAGAGTCACAGAGGAGGTTGGCTCTGTGATCAAAAAATGCAGTCAGATGCAAAGGGGATGTGTTGGGGTGAAATCCTCTTGCTTGTTCAAACAAACCTCTCAAAAACAGCCCAATCCACCATTCCTGCGTCCTTAGCATTGAGGCACACAGACATGGACAGTTCTTGACACCCTCCATCACTTCTTGCTGGTAGTAATCAAAACCTGTCCCTGAAACATGTTCAGTTGTGCAGTATGAAAAAGTAAATTTAAAGCCATTAGTATGCAGAAGTCTATTATATTTCAAAATGTCCTTTAGTAGCATTTTCTCGTTTATATACATAAGGAAAACATGGAGAAAATCTTATTAGGTCCAACTAATTCCAGTTCTATAATTCCAGTTTCTTCCTCCTCTTTTAGAAAATTTTAAAAAAATAATATTTTTTTTTCCTGTAGGAGATTTGCATGGAAACCTGGATGATCTTTTGCTGATATTCTATAAGGTAAGTAGGTACCCTGAGATTTAGCATTTTCACTTTGACTTGTTAATAAGAACAATTATTTATGTATGACAGATTTATCACCGTTAGAACTGCACAGGTGGTGTGCATGTACCACACACACAGTTTGTGGAAAAATTTGCTGTCTTTGTCAGAGCTTTTCCTTCTTCATATCCTCCTGCTCACTGTGAAGGAGATAGAGGAGATGATTACTTTCCTGCATGCTGAACTGCAGGAGGACTCCTTGCAAGGTCTCCAAAGTTCTGCCACTGTTTTAAATTCCGTATTGACTGAAGTCTGCTAAAATCAAGAGCTGAGTTCCTGATGTAACACTACACCATGGATAATTTTGATACTCAAGAAAAAAGGCAGAAGCTTTCATTTAGGCCTTCCACTGATACCTGTAGATTTTTTGGTTTGCTTTTGGGTTGTTTGGGGGGGTTTTGTTGTTTTGGTTTAGTTGTTTGGGTTTGTTGGGTTTTTTGTTGTTGTTTCTTTGAGGGAGTTACTTTTGTTTCTAACAGGAAACAAGAGTGGTGTTTGAAAGCTTTTTAAGCCTTGGAAGCAATCACATGGTCTGCACAAGATACAAGTATTTTGGGCACCCTTTATACATCCTTTTTCATCATGCTAAAAAAGCATAGCTTGATTTTACTCATGTGTAAAACAAATTAAGCTCCAGGCTAGCTTTTCCACAATTGTAAGTTTAACTGAAGATGCAGGAAATGTTGTGTATTTAGTTTCATATTTATCTTCATGATGAATCACCACCTTTGGACTGAGCAGGTATTCTCTTTGATTTGAGCTTTCCGGGGTGAAAGGGTTTGTGTCAGATCCTTACACATTCATCTGCGCTGAATGGAGACTGAAGTGAGCTAAACCAGGTGTTTAAATGATGCAATTCTCCCCCTGCTTCCACCTTTGTTACGATTCATCTGACACTTGTTGAATGAAAACGTGGTTGTTTTGTCCAAGTGCACACCAGAAGTCTGTTAAGTGTAGTGAAAGTATAATCAAACCTTTTTTCATAGAGTTCTGCTTTTCTTACTAATCAACCATCTTTAGCTGGTCCTTTGCTTGCAGTCTCTTAGTTGTTTAGATCTCTTTTAAAAACTGGAATAAGAGTATGATACATATTGGTTTCATACATAAAGCCTGGAATGGGAAATATAACTATTTTGGAGATAAATGCTCAGATATAATTATATTTACAACTGCAATCAGCCTGCATTTTGTTTTTTTGGAGTAAACAGATTCTTTCCCCCTCTTCTAATGGATGCTATAAAGAGAAAAAAAAAATGCAACTCTCATCCTGACTTCAGTAAATTCAGAGCCAAAACTCCCACTGACTTCAGACTAGAAATAACACCCATTTGTCCTCTGTTAAACTTCTAGGGGAGTCCCTTCCATCAAACCAAATAAAATGGGCAAATGTTTCATCATTTCACAGTAGTGAATATAGAAAGCATATGATAGAGCTGATTAGTTATTGAGAAGCAAATTAAATGACACTATTTTCTGTCCCCTCAGAGTTTACTCAGATGAGCAGCAAACCCAGTTGTCTTCTGGGATCCACATTTATTCCTCCTTCCCAAACTCTGTTTCAGTTGGAAGGGATTTCATCCTCTGAGTTGGTACAAACTACCTTAAACAAGAGGGTGCAATCCCTGACAATGCCATGGGAGTGATCTCTGTCTGCACAGGGCAGTGCAGAGCTGAAATGGATTCTGGAGGCCTGCATGCAGACCAGGCTTGTCACTTCCATAAACCACCCCCAGCAAACACACACAGCTGGCAGTCTACAGCATATTGATACAATGCTGCAGATGGTGTATAATCCTTACACCTGGTTTGGCTGAAGCTAAGACGCTTTCTTTTTCCCTCTATAACCTGTATGTAAGGTTCATTCAGTCAATGCATTAATCTTTATTATATTGCAGTGTTTCCTTATACTCCTTGAAACACTTGAATTTTAAATTATGTATTGCTAAATTAGATTGTTAAAGGGATGCTATAGATAGAAATAGCCTGAAGCAGTAGAAAATGCCAACAACAAACGGAAGTTAATTAATCACTAACCCAGGAGATACAGTAATAATGCCCAGCAGCAAGTTGCTAATCATTAGAGGGCCTTGTTTGCCTCTATGACGTATCAGTGGCTGCAACAGCCTTTAATTTAGTTTTGCTCTCGTTGGTTGAAACCACAGAAAAGGAAAGTGCATGGGTGTGGAACAAAACTAAAATGTCACATTGAAGTTAGGAGTCAAAACCAAACTTGTTTAAAACTGAAATTGTGTGTAACCTTTTCCAGAAGAAGGGTGATAGAATCTGGAGAGTGCTCAAGTAGATGTTACTTTCCATGAGAACTGCAGTTAGAATGGTTATGTGTATATTCACAATCTGCTGGTGAATTCACATGCCTATTGGTTTTAAGGCAAAGATTGTATTTATTTATTTACCTACCTTTCCAGAAACTGCAGAATTTCTCCTGTCTGTTGCACTCCTGAAATCCATCCTCTCCTTTTTAAAATCACTTCAACCCACTGCATTAGAAAAGTCTCATACATTGCCACCCCTGTGAGCACAAAGCAAGCACAGCCCCCTTCTAAGTTAACTTGGAAAGGGCTCAGGACAGGCTATAGCAAAATCCAGGGAAGCCGAATTTGCAGCAGCTGCGATGGAGAGACCCAGGTTCACTACTGCATCCTAACATGAAAGCACAGGACACTGACTGGGACAAAACCAATCTTATCTTATATCTTATAAGATAAGATATAAAATATCTTATGAGATATTCTCATAAGGATTCAAATTACACATTTCATCGAGTCCCTGGCCACATCACACATCCTGCAATAAACCCACTAAGGCAGAATACCAGTAATGCCATAGCACCACAAGAAAGGCTTGACACTAACACCATAGATATATTCAAGTGGGATGTCTTGCAATGCTGCCAAACCTTTTAAGAGTGGCTTCCACAGTTATAATGTAATTTTATAGATATTCTACTGATATTCTTGTGCATATCGATTGAGAAAACAGAGGCTTCCCTTTTCTGGCAAGTGAAAGTTAAAATACTATTTCTGATTCTCATGACTGGAAATGATGAAGCTACATATAGGTGGTGCTATATTTTCTGTAAGCTGATGGCACCCGTTGATGTGTTGCTAATTAATCTAATAAAACATACCATCGGTTCAAAATACTTGTTTTTACTAAGTCACTATATATAACAAAGCATTTCTCTGTATCTTCAGAAAAATATAAGGGAAAAAATCCCTGTATATCCAACCTCTCAGGTTTGTGAGCTTTCAAGTGTATCTTGGCTCTCAATAGTAAAATTCAAGTAGTGTTTTCAGGATTAAAGCAACTAAAATCAAAATCTTCAATGTTCTGTCTTAAGATTTTTTTATCCTCTGGACTATAGTCCTTCTCAGGAGTTTTGGAAGCATACACTGCAAACAATGTAAATATATTAAATCCATTCAAACTTACATCAGAAGATGATTTTTCATGTATTTCTTCCATTCAAACTGAATGACTTCCTTCTGTTTGCAAGTGTACTTTTTCCTGGTAACAGTTGCATTAACAAGAATGTATATTTTACTACAAGACTGATGTTCCTTTTGGTCCCTTTTGATTAAATATAATAGGTAGAGGAAGGGATTAGAGTTGGCATTGTAAGAACAGCCAGAGAAGTCCTCTTTTCTCTAATGGCTTCGGTTGTCTGACATGAAAGTTTTTATTCTAAGCAGTGGAAATAAAAAAATGCTGCATTTTAGATCTCTGTATTATGCAGGATTTTTTCGAGAATTTCTAGTAATGGGATCTCATTTAAATGCTATTTCCTTTATTACAGTAGCATAGCAGCCTCTCTAAATGCCCCTTTTTTTATTTCTGCAGAACGGTCTGCCTTCAGAACAAAACCGCTATGTCTTTAATGGAGATTTTGTCGACAGAGGGAAAAATTCTATGGAAATACTTATAATACTATTTGCATTTCTTCTTATCTACCCCAATGATTTACACTTGAATAGAGGAAACCATGAAGACTACATCATGAACCTGAGGTAGATTTTGGGAGTGGGGCAGGTAATACCTGGGCTATCACTGGAAATATTTGAGCTTTTAAGTGCTACTTAATCCACTGTGACACCCTAGAACAGAAATAATGTTCTATTAAGTAGTCGTGTACTTTTGCCTTTTCAGCGTATGTGTGGGGAAGGAACATCCTCACTACACACAGACATTTGAACAGGAGTCATGTCTTGTCCTTCATCTAATCATAATCCATTGAAGTCAGAGGGCTTAGTGCAGCTTCCAGAGTATCAAAACTGGGGAAGGATTGATGGAAGGATGATATTTTAGTTAACTTTGTACTAAGATTTCAGTTCTCTAACACAAGGGGCAGGTAAATATCCTACCTTCCACTCAGAGGAGCTTCATTAGGTGGAGGTGTCAGTGCAGGAAAGCTGACATCCTGTTTTCTAACAGAAATATTTGCACTCAGCTGTGCAGTGCAGCCAAGGGGGTGAGCACAGCCAGAGGCTCTGGCTGTAGTCAAAGTGTGGCTTGGAGACAAAAAGCATCTCAGAGATGTGAGAACTCTTCAGTCCTACTCCTTACAATTCTAAGCTGCCCCAGAAAGTCTCTGGCTGACTGACTGGTGGATAACCTGCCGTTCCCCTTAGATCATTTGATGTGTGCACACAGGATGTATTGCTGTTTTAACACAGTCCTCTGTGTTAGCACCTGGGTCAGAGGCCCATAGGCAAGTCCTACTAATGATCCACAAAAGAGAATCAGTTCCACATGATAGTTACTTTTTCAGCACTTAATTGAAAACACCCTGAAACCAACAAACATAAACCAAGATCAGTTATTTAACCTACAAGGTAGGAAGATTCCTCCCCAAAATAGCAGAAAATATTAACTAAGTATGTGATGGTATGGAGTGCACAGATGTATTCTCGTCTATCGCTCTTTGCTGTGCATTTTGATTAGCAGTGCTGCACTGCTAATTTACCAAATTTCAATTGGTAAATTTGAAAGCTGAGTGTTGTGCAAATGCCCTCGATGAAGCATATCTTGGTGTTAAAGGAACGAGGTATCAAAATCCTTGCCCCTTGTGGGGGAAAAGACATAACAGTTGGATGAAGCTCTGAGCAATCTTAGCTAGTGGAAGGTGTTCCTGCCCATGGCAGGGAGTTGGAATGAGATGATCTTTAAGGCCCCTTCCAACCCAAACCATCCTATGATATGATTCTACGATGATATGATATTTAAGACAGAAACTCTCTGAAGGTTTTGTGGGAATCTTTGCCCATCATCAGGTTACTTTGGAATTTTTCTCTGGTATCTAAAAGAGCTGGCAAAAAGGCCTCTTAATAATTCTTGAGCTGGATTCTGTTCCCAACCTCTGTTATATACAAGAAACCAGTTTAACTCAATGCTCAAGACAGAGGGGAAGAAAGCATATTTCAGCTGAGGTGAGATGGAATGGCAGGTGAAAAAGGGGGCTAGAAAACTCCAGGAAAACACCATAGCACAGGAAATCATGCAGAAGGGGCATACTGAAAACCAGTTCATGATGCTGTCCTGTTTTCAGATACGGTTTCACAAAAGAAGTTTCGAAGAAGTACAAGGTAAGATTCCTCCTCCTTCCCCTATATTTTTTTTGTAGTCTTGCACATGTAAAATGAAACCTATGTTTACAAGAAAACTTCAAACCAGTTTATTTAGGTGTAGCAGAGAATTACTTTAGTGATATAGGTGAAATTATTTTGGCCTACCAGTGGAATAACTGATGAAACAATTTTAAGTGCTAGTCTCTTATGCCCAGAGATCTATAGGATAAGTGACATCCATATCAAGAACACAAAAAGAGGTGTACATGAAAGAAAAAGTTTTTCTTTGCTGCAGAGATAATCAAATGGCCCTAAAGTAAATGTCAAAAATGTAATGTTTGTTAGGGTTGCAGTTCAGGGTATCACCTGAACAAAACTGTTCATATAAACTGTACCAGATGTTTCAGCAAAACCTTGAGCTTAGAAGCAACAGATTCTACCAGAAATAGGATCTCATATAAGAGTGTATTTTACAGGACCATTGGAAACAGATTTTGTGTCTTCTGCGAGATGTTTTTAGCTGGCTTCCCCTTGCAACTATAATTGATAGCAAAGTTCTTATCCTACATGGGGGCATTTCAGACACCACAGATCTGGATTTCTTGAATGCACTTGAGAGAAATAAGGTAAGAGATCATATTCATGTGAAGGTAATGTTTTCTTTTTAAAATTTTGCAGTACAAATGCTAGGATCAGGTAATTTACATTAAGAAAGGACATGGCAGCAGTATAAGGCATGTAAGAAAAATAACAGTTCAATTTTTTTCAAAATCTGGGCTTAGGAAGGAAGGTTGCAGTAGATGTTGAGAGCCAATTGTCTGGGTCTTTTGAGCTTAAAATAGCTAAAGCCACTTTAGATGCCTCCTCCTGCAGCAATGACACATTAGCCAGAAATCGGGCTTGATTCTTGGGCATTTCCTTTAAACACTTTAGAAATCAATCTAGACACGTATTTCCAGCACTGCCTTTTTTCCTGGGGCTGTGCTTCTGCCATCTGTTGTGTGGGGGAAGTTCTCCACCTGTGAGGCGCTCCCTTCACAGCAGCTGAGTGTTGTACATGTGGGAGAGCCTTTCCAGAAGGATCAGAATTCAAGAACTGGCCTTGATAAAACAGAATCTACTGCTTTTCAGGGATTTTTAAGACAGAAATGTTAATGTTTTTTTCTGAAGTGATTAGCAAACACAGGTCTTTCAAATCAGTGGAAAATGGTGTGGTATTTGATCTTGATTTGGACACCTAAATCAAGATGTCTGCTTGTGATCAGGGTGCTGAGACTCCTTATAGTCAATGGAGATCCGTGAGACCTGGTGGAGATCATTACTTAGGTACAAGTCTCCAGTGCTGTTCAAGGAAGTGCCCCATTGGCTAGAGATGTTCCCTCTGGCCTTTTCCTGCCTCCAAAGAAAGTCTTCTCTGTAGGCCCCCTCCACCAGTCCCCTTTAGGCCAGATTTGTGTGCCCCCCTCACACTAATTCACAGAAACAGTGGAGCATCTCAGATGGCATAGGAGTCTAGTGTTCGAGCAACTTAGTGTACCTTGTCATCAATGACTGTGGAATCGAGAGCTATTTTTGTCATCCCTATATTTTCTAAAGCAGAAATAAATGCTTTGCAGGACAGTCAGTTGTGTCTCCTTTTTAAAGATATGAAAAAGGGCACAAGCACTTCTCATCACTGGAGTCTTAGCTCTGTTGGCTGCACCACTGTGCACTAAAACTGGGTGCCTAACTACAGACAGAGTTGTCCTAACTGTGAGCTGAGTTCTGCCCATGCTTTCACCAGGGCTCAGCTCTGCATGTTTCTGATGCAGTATCTGTGAAATACAGAATTAATAGGTCAAAGTTGCTGCCATAGGAGAGTGTTGCTAATGAGACATGTGTGGGCCACAACCCAGGGCAGTGTCACTCAAGGCCAAATGATGTATTTTAATTGGTACAGCTGGCAGCTGACAGGTTTGAAATACTGGTCAGTACACTGGTGAATAACCCCGTGTTGTGCATTTTGCTTAGAATTAGTCCTTTTCTTTGTTAAAAAGTAAAATCTGGGGGTCAGTGGACTGTATATGTTTTATTTGTGGGTGTTTTTTTGATCTTGGGTTTTTTGTTTTGTTTTGGGTTTTTTGGGTCTGTTGGTTTGGTTTTGGGGTTTGTTTTGGCTTTGTTCTGGAAATAAGCTAGTGTGAGAGAATTTCAAATGAGAAAACATTCCCTGGAGAAGAATCCATGTTAATAGTGATTCATGGAACCATAGTGCACCTCTCTACAAAAGCAATTGCCCATGCAGGTTGGAGGAGTTTGATTTAACAGTGTAAGACTTGATGTAATATTTCATCAGTTTCACTATTGACTTCCTGCTATTCCATTTAATTTAGCCAAATTAATCTAATGGTATGGTAAAAGTCAGACCAGAAGTGAATGGAGTTTCTCCTTCAGTGCAATATGAATGTATATTTTGTTTCTAGGCAAGCTGGGCACTGAAGTGTCTTCCTGAGCCCAGGCCCTACTTGCTCTATAGTGAGATCTTAAGAATAGCCTGTGTTTGGAATGAGTGTGTTTGTCTGGATAAGAATATGAAAGCAGCTCTGAAGAGCCTGGTTACTGATAGGTAAAACAAAATTTCTGCATGTGCCAAATAGCTGCAGCTTCTCCCAAACATGTGAATTCAGAACATTATGAGAGTTAACATTAGTTGAACTCTCAAGCAGTTTTCCTGAGTACAGGAAACATGAGGTGATGTGCATTTCAACAGCTCTGTATCAACTTTTGTTGTTTTGAGAGTAACTTTTTTTTTTTTTAAAGTTGAAATCTTTGATGCGGCCACCAAAGTCAGTGAGAGACAGACAGGACCAAACAAAGAAGAGAATTTCCACAGCCAAACCCAGCAAACACATTGTCAACCAGCATGCTGCAGGGAAGACGCAACACATCTCTTCATCGGGCTTCGCTGAGCCTTCAGGCTCAAATTTGCCTCCAGACCCCACCCTGAAGGAATGGAAACAAGTAGGTGAAACCAAAGACACACTGATACCAAACCCCTCGCACACAAACTCAGCAGGTGTTCTGTTCAGGCAGTGTGTTTATGAGTCTGAGGCAATGTCTCTTAATAGGAAAACAGTCATTCTAAGGAGTATATTAGATACCTATTAGTGTTTTTGGAGACCTGGTAATAAAGGCTTGGGATTTAATACCTTGCAAGTAAAATTCACCCACTATTTTCTTAGCCATTAGGAGGAGAAAACTGCTCAGTAGGAAATGGGTTTGCTTGCCCTCATGTGGATCTGTTGGTACATAAATGGTTGTCAGTTTAAACAGGTCAGACTGCAATTGTTGGTGAAATAAAACTTTTTTTTTGGCTGTGCTTTTGGCAGATGAATGCTTATATAGCCCAGAATAGCAACCCAGCTCCTGAGACCTACAGGCAGAAGTGGAAAGTTTTTATCCTCTGGCTATTTATTTCATCCTGAATATCAGAGCCAATATAGAGTTTTTGTTATGCTGTCATTTAATAAATCATGACAATTTGTAAAGCTTAATTTCTCTGAAAATCTGATTTCCCATGATACCTCTCTGACATACAAACTAATGTAATGGGCACAAGCAAGGCTCCTCTTTTCCCCCCAAATCTGACACTCCCCCAGCTAATCAAGCATCCACTAAACATGGAGCTGAATGTGTTAGTGCAAACATTGCCCAGAAAAGTTTAAACAAACACATTTTGAGTAATGTTTGCTACTGACTAGAGTTTAACCATGATAATTCATCTTCATATCTGAACTCTGCTAAAATGCTAATATGTAAAATGTTGGTTTAAAACATGAGCTAACTGAAGACAATAAAGCCAAAGGCAACTCTTGTCATGTGTAGAGCAGGTACTCCCAAACTTAGGTAAAACCACTGACCAATGTGGATATCCAGTTTGTGCTGGGAATTAGAAATTGCTTCTCCTACCTATGTGTGAAGAAGGCAGCTTTTGTTCTTTAAATAGCCCAGGTACTGTTCCTGATGCACCTTCCCAAGTCTGAAAACCTCAGCTGTGAAAGGAGGTACATTGCTGAAATTATATTTCTTCTGAAACAAAAAAGTTCATCCAAAATCTAGATGTTTCTTAAAAAGTGGAACAAAAGTCTCAGCCCAAAAGAATACGCTCCTGAAAGGAAGGAAAATCCCCAAGACCTATGTGTTAGCTTGGATGTGTTTTCTCCCTGTACTCTGGGGCTTTTGCTGTGGCCAGGACTTTAGACAGACATAGCCTGTCAGTCTTCCACTACTATCAGTCCTCACTTGCTTGAGTTTGCTGTTTATAGATCCTTGACATTCTGTGGAGTGATCCAAGAAGCCAGAATGGCTGTACACCAAACAAGTGTCGAGGAGGAGGCTGTTACTTTGGTCCTGATGTCACTGCCAAGCTGTTTGAGAGGTATAATCTGAAGATGCTCATCAGGTCTCATGAATTTAAGCCAGAAGGTTATGAGATCAGTCATGATGGGAAGGTAAGATGCCTCCATGTAAAGCAGAATTCTCCTGTGAATTTCACAGGGATATCCACAGATTTGTGTGCAAAATTTATTTTGAAAAAAGAGAGTCACTTTGTTAAACTGGGTTTGGGGGAACTTCTTCCTAGATAGATGTTAGAACAAATTAGAGAGTTCTGAGTAACAAAATCCTTTACAGCTTTAGGGAGTGGGGACCAGTTTATGACTTACATGGAAACAAATGGACATCAGCAAAATGCTTGACAAGAGTTGTGTCTAAATACAGTTCAAGAGTTGCTCTAAGGCTCTAGAAACTTTTAACTTACTGATTTCTCTTCTGGCCCTGCTTTCTAACATGCTGTATTGGGAGCCAACAATAATCCTGAAAACCAGGTCTCTCGTAGAAAGAGGTTCTGTGAAACAGCATATTATATCTCACTGCTCTCTGAAGTCTGACAGGTCAAAAATAAAGGCCCAGAGCCCTGACTCAAAAGGCAAGAGCAATTTGGTGAATGACATAGTTTTATATGTAGACTCATACTTTTGTAACCTGGAATTTTTTCTCAGAGCAGTTTCAGAAATAAGAAAAGCTGTTCCAGCCAATCCAGTTTCTTTGTTTCCTATGTCAGGTTATCACCATATTCTCTGCCTCTAACTATTATGAAGAGGGCAGTAACCGGGGCGCTTACATCAAGCTGAATCCCGAGCTGACCCCTCGGTTTGTGCAGTACCAGGTCAGCAAGTTCACGCGCAGGCAGAATCTCCAGGAGAGGTAAAACTGTGTGTTGCATGCAGTGAGTGTGGACTCAACTCAAATGTGAGTGTACCTGCCACAAATTCAGAGCTTGATTGAGTAACTGAATGGGCATCCATTTTCCTTGATTCTCACTGGTTTTCTATTTTACAATTTTAAAATTAATACAGTAGACAAAACATGTTCAAAGTGGTTGACTTGGTTTCCTGAGAAACTCCCAAAGATAATTAGCTGAGGTAAGCAGTTATAACAGACAATTGTTAGGGACTCATAAATGGCCTGCACCTGTCTGCTTTAAGGCTGCAGTATTAATCTGGACAAATCCTGTTATTAACTGAGTCACAAAAGTTTATCATGACAGCTTTGCCATGCCTAGTAGTGTGGTCGGATTACTAAAGGAAAGCAGCTTAGAGTTACCTGCATAAACTCAATTATCCCATAAACTCAGATCATTCTTATGGAGCATTGTTGGTTTTATTTAGTTTGAGGTTTTTTCCTCCTCTGACCCTGAGTGTGTTTTGGGTCATCCTACTTAAACATACTAGACCCTAAACATACTACATGTTAATGGATATAAGAATTTTATAATGAATGTTGAAAATCATAAAATGCTAGAGGATTTTAATTCTTTAATTGCTGATTTTTTTCCTCCTAGGGTAGGTACAATTGAATCATCTGCCTTAAAGTGCTTACGAGAGAAGATTTATGCTCACAGGTCTGAACTCACCAGTGCTTTTGCACAATATGACGTCAATGGCACAGGTACTACTTCCTCTCCAGTCCAGTTGCCACCATGGGGAAAACAGCTTCCATGTGTGTGGGGGGCAGAGGGGACAAACCCCATGGAGAGGAGTCCAGCCTGCCTGCCAGTGTCAGGCTGAAGGCAGCAAGGCTGGTTGACCTTGTTCTTCATGACCACAGAGGAGGATAGACAATGGGAAGAGCTTAGCCCCAAATGACTTCAGGGGATGAAGCTTGAAGAGGGAAAAAGAGAACTGAAAGGCATGGGCTAATAATGAAATGCTGTTGGGTAGAGAGTTTGGGCAGGCAAATCCAGTTCCAGAAGCTCAAATGTAGCACCTTCATGCAGCAGTGTCTTCAGAATGTGTGAGACGGGGAACTGGCATCTCAGGGAAGGGGGGGGGCAGGGGGGAATGGATCTCCTGAGTATGGGTGGTATCTAAGGAAAGTTTCCTACCTATGCCTCCAGCAGACACACACTCACCCCTCAGATGAAGAAAAGTCAGTGCTAAGTTAAAAGATGAACCTTTTATGTAGAAGCAAGAAGCTGATTTCTGCCACAAACACAACTTTTCCTTGAGATGGCTTCTCACTTGACTGTGTCCTTACAAGGGCACTCAATAACATGATGTTGTTCCTTTGGCCACTGAACAGCTGTTTCACATATTTCTGTCTGGTTGATTTTCAGCCACATGTCCCTCTAATTGCAGTTCAGCTGAAACCTGAAGTACTCTTCATGGCATAGTCTGGCTTTCTCAGAAAGTGTTAAAACATGCTGAATATCATAACAGTATCACAACTTTGTGGCTGGAAGGGACATGTGGAAATGCCTAGTCCAACCCCACTGCTCCTTTGTTATGAGGGCTTTTACCTCAGGGTTCAGAGAAAATCCTTGTGTTTTGCAACCCTTTGTGCTGGTGACTGATGTGTGCTGTGTCCTGTACTTTTAACCATGACCTGATCCCTTCTGGCAGGCAGGATTTCTGTCAACGACTGGGCTGCAGCGATGGAGTCTGTCCTACAGCTGGAACTGCCCTGGAGGATGCTGCGGTCTCAGTTAGCACAGATGAACCCAGATGGAAAAGTTGACTTCATGTCATGTTTTTATGATTTGAAAATGGGTCAATCTATAAAAGAGGTAAAGAGGAAAACACCTCCTTGCGATTCTTGGAGGAACAACTTTTAGTGCAAACTGAAGCACAAGACAGTGGTTTGGCCCATCAAGTAGACATCTACATCTGAACTAGTTGCTGAGCTCCCTTTTATAGTCACTGAAGGAAAATGAGCACTGCTAGGGTACAAATCATCATTCCCTGCTAAGGTAGATGCTTAAAATAGGTTGGATGAATCACATGCTAGAACTGCTTCTTACTTTCTGTTGGCTCTCGAGGGCGTTTAGATAACGGAGCTGAGGAGATGTGACAAATCCTGCCCAGAGCAATCAACCCTTACTCTTTGAAATGAGCTTTTCAAACAAGCTCCAGAGGCAGTTCAGGCCCCTGTGGGAGAAAGTCACATTTTTAGATGGACTTTTAGATGTTTATAATGGTATTTGAGGGCACTTCTACAGAGCCCAGTTGTTACCAAATGGCTGCACAGTGCTTCGGTATGGAGGTATCACCATAATTTTCCTAAATAGGAGGATCCATTCACATCTGAACAGTGAGTGCTTTGTATGAGCGCATGGTCTGCGCTATCTTCCCTAGATTATCCAAGATTATTTCCACAAATAATTACTGAAGGTAGGAGGTGTGAAGGGCTCCTTTCCCCTTTGCCCTGCACCTGAAAGTGATGGATTTATCTGATTATTCCTCAGGGCAAGACACAGAACTGCCATTCCAGAGAACTCAAGCATAAAGATTTTTTTTTAACATTTAACAAGTTAAACTGGAAAAATGGAAAATGGATAGTAGATATTCTGTTGGTTAAATTAAACCGAGCTCTGAATAGTTTCTTGTACATGATTTCAAATCCAGGCTCAGCCAGCTTTGGCGGAAACACTGTGCAGATACAGAAAGGATCTGGAGATCATCTTTAACATCATTGACAAAGATCACTCAGGTAAGTCTAGGTAACTTCACTGTGTCAGCTCTAGGGAGTCTTTACCAGTTATCTTTTCCCCACTGTGTTTCCTCCTTAAGGCTTCTAAATATAGAGGAACCAGAGGTGATGTCATTTCTCCAGTTTAGTGGAAACTATTTTAAGCAGTCAGGCTGCAACCATATAAGGGACAGTGCACAGAGCCTAACAAGATTCTTACATACCCCAGTTCCAGTATTGGCTTCACTCTTTTGGGGGCTTTTTCTCCCTTCCAGTCTTTCTCAATTCCACTGTCAAAAACATTCAGTCATTACCTCAAGTAAAAATGTGCTTCAGTCATGAAAGCAGTACCCCCACCATGGTAGGCAGGTAACTTTCTTGCAATGAAGGAGTGTGCACCTGTGTGTGTTTATGCAGGAAGGGGAAACAACACTGCAAAAAGCAACCTATTGTCTGTCTTCTTTAGGTTTGATTTCTCTTGAGGAATTCAGCCAGACATGGAGACTCTTCACTTCTCACCTGGGCATTGACGTACAGGATGACTCCATTGACAAGTTAGTCCTCAGCATAGACTACAACAAAGATGGCCACATTGACTTCAATGAATTTTTGGAGGCCTTTCACGTTGTTCACAGACTCGAGAAAAAGGCAACCTCATGAAAAGGCAGAAGTTCTTGTGGGTTGTCTTGGAACCTCAGCTTGCTGTCATTAGTCATAAAAGGGCTGCTCAATAGGGTCACTGTGCAAGCCTTTATTTAGCCCTTCCTGGATGATCTGTACCTGCTAATAATGGGACAGAAGAGATGAAAACCTACACTTACAGTATTACTGTGTCACTGCCACACACTGCCAGAACCTTATAATTCATCCCCTCTTCTTGGTGGCATCTCCCCCATCAATCTAATCCCTGAACATTGCCAAGGTCATGCCTAGAGCTGTGTAGGAAGGGAGACTTTGGTATGTGTCTGTCAGCAGACCTTTGTGACAGCTGAGAGCATTGATAACCACAAGGAACATATCAGACCTACCCTGGTGATGGAACAGGCACAAGAGAGGCTGGCTGTGGGGTGTCCATTGCAGGAGAGAAAAACAGGGAAGAAGCATCTGGTTAAAATGGGTAGTTCTGAGTTTAATCTTGCTCTTTGCAAGATGCAGAGGAATTAAATCGTTCCAGGTCAATCTCTTATCCTTCCAAAAGTTTACAGACATAACTTAGAGGATCGTGGTTCAAACGTGTTTATACTTGCACTAGAATTCCTCTTGCCTCTGGTTACTTTTCCCCACATTTGTTGGGATTTGGAGCTATGAAACAGTAACTGTTTCTGAGATGGAGACAGGCTCTTCACCGTGGTGCTGAGCAATAGGACAAGAGGCAATGGGCAGAAACTGATGCACAGGAACATGACTTGTTCTGAACATGAGGAAGAACTTCTTTACTGTGCAGTGACCGAGCACTGGAACAGAATGCCCAGAGAGGCTGTGGTGTCTCCCTACTGGAGATAGTCAAGAACCATCTGGATGTAGTCTTGTGCTGTGTGCTATGGGGTGACCCTGTCTGAGTAAGGAGGTTGGACCAGATGATTCACTTGGTGGTCTCTTCCAACATGACCCATTCTGGGATTCGGTGATTGCGTGATAACTCGTCACCTTAATGAAGGCAAAATCCACAGCATGTTAATGTAACACATGATAGATCACACAATAAAGCTTTAGCTTTCTGAGCAATGCCTAAGTGGGGTGTCTCTTCGCCTGTGTTTTGGTACCCTGCCCCCATCACCATAGAAAACTCTTCCTGAAGATGAACTGGGTTCCTTAAAAACAGAGATGAGTAAGAATACAAGAGTAAATGTATTTTGATACTACAAAATCTAAATATTCTGGAAGGCAGCAAGATGGAAGACTGTTGCACTCGCATTCCTGTCTCCTTTCCCTGACTGCAAGTCAATATTCCCATTCCTGACAGTACCACCCTGTCAACGCCCAAGGGGGAGAAGTCAGGAAATCTGGACCTAATTCTCTTGCATCTTACATGCTGAAAGCAACATCAGGTGAGGAGCTTTTTGGTAACTATTACCTCATTCAGCCTCAGTAAATGCAATGCACATAAAGTGCTTTTTGGGTAGGAAAAAGTTCCAACCTAGTCTCTCTTTAAATTTTAATAGCCAAAGATAAGCTAAGTAAAGCAGCTCATTTCATTTAATAGAAGTGTTACAAAACAAATACAAAACAAGTACAAAAAAAGCATCATTCTAAGTTTATCATCCCAGAATGTAACAGCAGCCCAAGCTTAAGGCATTGCTGTCTCTCTTAAATCTTATTTTCTACTATTAAATACAGAACACTTTTCCAGAAGTATTGTGTAACTTGACAGATGAATGAACAGACACACACACACACTTATTTCTACTGCCTTGGGGGAGGGGAAAGAAAAATCTTTAATAGTACAAACAAAATTTACAGTAAAACTTTAATGTCATTGGTAATACATAATGTGTATTTTTAGCATGCAGCTATTCTGATCTATGCACTGTGATGATCAGTCCCACCTGACAAAAAGGCTCCACTTAAAATGGCCAAACACCACTGAGTATGGTGGGATCTTGCTTCCCACTGCTGGCTTCCATGCGGTGGGTGTGAAGTGACAAGGTGGAAACGGACACTGCAGCTCTGCAGTCCCCCTTCGCCACCTGCCCCAGTAAACAGGACAAAGCCAGGCTGTACAGCAAGACACAGGAGCTCTGAAGGATGGCTGGCAGCCTCCAGTGTGATGTCCTCCCTACATTCCTGATCCTGGCATGAAGGGGACTGGATTCAAGGGATCAGTTCCTGCGAGGGGAGATGCCAAGGTACAGTCTCAGCACAGCTTCTCTGGGCAGGCAGTGAGAGCCTTTTGGGGATGCAGAACTGAGGTATGAGAGCAGCTGAATCATTGAGCCAAAAAAAGAAAGCACTGTCCTGTCAGCTGCTGGTAGCACAAAGAGCCCCGTGACCCCTGACAGAAGGGGGGTGGCAGGGGGCGTAACTGTGAAACTTCTAATGTTGGGAATAAATGCCACTTGACTGAAACTGTGAGTGGGAAAAAGTGCTGCTGCTTGTACTTATATCCAAACTGAGCTGAAGCTCTTCTATAACCACCATCCTCAATCCCTTTTTTTCAGTCATGATTCTATGCAGCATCTACTTAATGTGCTGCTAAGTCACATCACCAGATGTGACTGGTCCTTTAAGCAGCACCTGAATCAGCCTGCAGATGAGTGCCAAGCTCTCACCCTACAGCTACAGATGCCACCACTGGTAGCACCTCTCTCCTGCTTTCTGAGCAACTCTGTTCCTACCTGCCAACCAGTCCAAGAAGTGCCCAGGATTGGACCTGGACTGCCTCGAGCTCCCGCTTCACTGAAGGCCCTGGCTACTGCCAGGGGGTGACACATTCCTGCAGTGTTCCATACCCGCATGGGACAAGCCAGGTGTTTCACTACCCCACAGAAAGTGACTGCCCCTTTGCAGGGCAGCTAAGGACTGTGTGGCTCACCTGCACCTTGCAGGAACAAGGAAGACTCCCTGAGAAAGGAGACTACAATCGGGAGAGAAGCCAGACAAACTTTGTACTCCACCCATTCAGTTTTCAGTTACCTGTGGGACCAGCAGCTGAGGGAGATCAATGGTGCTTTTGATCTGTCTAGTTTGACAAGTCCACATCCCTATCAGCAGCAGGGAGAAGACAACAGCATGAGCAGGGGGACGATGGCCTGGGGGAGCAGGGTTGGGGCCAGCATGTGGTATGAGCTCTGAGCTGGACACAGATCCTTATTCTGCCAGTTCCTCCCCCCAGCCCCAGCCTGTCTCCGGGCACACCTGGCTGCCCCCAGCACTGCAGAGGTGCTCCTGACCCCAGAGCTGCAAACTGCTAGGGGTAGCAGGGCCCATCAGGCTGGCATGAGCAGCTCTTGGGTCAGTCTATTTTAATTCACTAATGCCCTTTTCTGTTTCTGTGGCACAGGACAGGTCTGTTCACCTTTGCCTTCTTTCCATAAATGAGTTTCCAGGGACTGGGATCTGGCAGTGTCATCCTTTGCTGGCTCCTCAGGGAGGCTGCAAAGCCAAGGAGAGCCTTTGCCAATTAGCTCAGCCCTGCACAAACTGCAAAGTCGTCCTGTATTATATCTGGGAGTACACCCTGGCCACTGCCAGTGCCAGCTCTGCTTTGCAGCAGCCTCACACACACTGGGGAGCCTCAGCAAAGCAAGGGGTCTGTGTAAAACCTTATTTGCATAATTGGGTTTGCACTCCAAGGCAACTCTCCAATTGCAATGGTTCTTCGCTCTGAGCTGTAACACAGCAGCAAGGTGCAGCTGTGCCTGACCCTGCAAGTAATGTGTTTGCCTTTCACTGGCCTTGTGTTTGAGTACCATCCTTCACCACCAGGTACCAAAACTCTTCAAATTACCACATAAATACTTTCCAACTGCCTGCATTCCATATGGTAATTCATTCTGATCATCCTGAATATACCATAACCTAGATCATATGGTGAATTTGATATTAAAGACACCAATGACAGTCCCATTTAAAAACAAAGAAGTGTTAAGAGTTGTCCAGGTATGTTAGGACATACATTTCATTGCTTTAAACTTCAATGCAGCTGCATGGAAAACCAACATCAGTCTTCTTGTTTCTGAAAACAAATTCACACAGTAGGTAAAAAAAAAAAAAAAAAAATTAGAAGTCTAAGCAAAAAGTCATCTTGGCATCTCTCTCAATCTAGGATTCAAGAAGAAAAGCAAAAATAACTGCTACTGTTTTTTGTATGATAACGGGTAGAATAAAAAACCATTATCTTGCTCTTGTGCTTATGCTCTGCACTGTCACATCTGCTTAAACTAGACAAAGGATTTTACTTCCTTTTACTGGGAAACAAGCCAAGCGAGCTCTCACAAGACATACAAAAAGTTAAAAAACCCAAACCAAACAATAACAAAGGCAAACCCTTACAAAACAGGCACCATGCCAATAAAATAACTTCCACACCCAAGTGCTAATTGTACCTGAACTTTATACTGGCCCCTGCACAGGCCCACGGTTCCCATGGTGGTTAACACAGTGCTCCTGGTCCCCTGGACTACCAAACTCTGGTCTGTGAAAAAACATTAAATCACCTCATATTTAGGCCTCACACACCTACACTCATACTGAGTCAGTTCCCAGATACTGCTACAGCAGCAGTGACTGTAGAGGGACAGCAGGCAGGGTGTCATGCCTTTGGAGCTCAGACCTCCTGAGACCAAGAGGGCTGGCAAGTGAGGTAGGACATTACTTCTACCGGAAACAAAAACCTCACTCTGAAAAGCGCCACACACTATTGTTACACACACACATAAAAAAAAAAAAAATTCAAATCCTATACAAATGGCACAGTTTTGTTTTTAAAGAGTGGAGGAGAGGCTCACAGAAACAGCTTATCAGGCTTATATATCTCATAAGTAATTAATTATAATAATAATATTATAATAAGTAATTATTTTTACAGGCCTATCTGCTCTTTCCCCCTCTACCTGGCAAGACAGAATTGCTCTGATCCTTTCTGCTCACATGGCAGCTGTGCTACTGAGGGACCCTGGCTGTGGACATGGGATGCTGAAGCTACTGCCACTTTCCTAAGCTGTTAGGATGTTGACATATGGCTGGTGGCAAAGCCAGCAGCACAGGCACAAGGAAAACCACAGACAGTGCCTGGGGTAAGGCAGAGTTTTCCTCTCCAGAGCTGCCTACCTCTGTTTTTAGTTTAAATGGCCCTGGAGTCATTTCCATGCAGGATGC